TTGCATTGTTCAGTATCCAGGGATAAATCCCATCAGCACACTTAATCACTTTTATATGTTTGTCTGACACTTTGCCAACTCTCTTAACTTCTTTGCATCTCTTTGCAGTCTGTTTGTGTCCTCCTTGAAGTTTGCATTCCCACTTAGCTCTGTATCATCATCTTACTCTGTCTCTTTGTCTAAATTATTAACATAGAATATGAATAGCTGAGGGTTCAACATTGATGCTTCAGTGCTCCTGCGGCAGCATGAGACTAATGTGAAAACATAGAATATAGAATATAGAACATAGAACAGTACAGCACAGTACAGGCCCTTCGGCCCACGATGTTGTGCCAACCTATTATCCTACTAAGATCAATCTATCCTGCATACCCTAAATTTTACTATCCTCCATGTGTCTATCCAAGAGTCGCTTAAATGTCCCTAAAGTATCTGACTCCACTACCAATGTCGGCAGCGCATTCCACGCGTCCATCACTCTGTGTGAAGAACCTACCTCTGACATCTCCCCTTCCTCCAGTCACCTTAAAATTATGCCCCCTCGTAATAGTCATTTCCGCCCTGGGAAAATGTCTCTGACTATCTACTCTATCTATGCCTCTCATCATCTTGTATACCTCTTATCAAGGCACCTCTCATCCTTCTTCACGCCAAAGAAAGAAGCCCTAGCTCCCTCACCCTTTCCTCATAAGACCTGCCCTCCAGTCCAGGCAACATCCTGGTAAATCTCCTCTGCACCCTCTCTAAAGCTTCCACATCTTTCCTATAATGAGGTGACCAGAACTGAACACAGTATTCCAAATGTGGTCTAACCAGAGTTTTATATAGCTGCAGCATAACCTCACAGCTCTTAAACTCCATTCCCCTGCCAGTGAAAGCCAACACATCATATGCCTTCTTTACAACCCTATCAACTTGGGTAGCAACTTTGAGGGATGTATGAACGTGGACCTCAAGATCTCTCTGTTCCTCCACACTGCTGAGAATCCTGCCATTAACCCTGTATTCTGCATTCAAATTCGACCTTCCAAAATGAATCACTTCACAACATTTTTACCTATTCTGTGCGTTCTATTCATTAATTAATCAATCCTCAATCCATGCGAATATATCACTCCCAATTGCATGACCCCATATCTTGTTTGTGAACCTTTTATATGGCACCTTATAAACCCTTTAGGAAATGAAGGCATAATAGATCTATTGGTTCACAATGACCCTACTAATTACATACTTAGAAAATGCTATGAAGTTTGTCAAATAACATTTTCCTTTTGTAAAGCCATCTTGACTAACCTTCTATGTATGTCTAGATGCATTAAAACTTCCATAAGTTTTAAATTTCCTTTCAGCACTTTCCTGATGACTAATTTCATGCTAACATCTCTGCAATTTCTTCATTTCCCCATGATAATTTCTCCTGTTTCTGTATTTTACTGTAATGTACATTCATAGAGTCATAGAGATGTACAGCTCGGAAACAGATCCTTCGGTCCAATTTGTCCATGCAGAGCAGATATCATAAATAAATCTAGTCCTGTTCGCCAGCATTTGGCCCATTTTCCCTTGAAACCATTCCTATTGATATACCCATCTAGGTGCTTTTTAAATGTTCTATTTGTACCATCCTCCACCACTTCCTCTGGCAACTCATTTCATACACCACCCTCTGTGTGAAAATGTTGCCCTTTAGTTCCTTTTTAAATCTTTCCCCTCTCACCTTAAACCTATGCCCTGTAGTTTTGGACTCCCCCACCCCAGTGGAAAGACCTTGTCTATTTACCATATCCATGCCCCTCATGATTTTATAAAACTTTATAAGGTCACCCCTCAGCCTCTGATGCTCAAGGGAAAACATCCTCAGCCTATTCAGCCTCTCCCTGTAGCTCAAACCCTCTGTTCCTGGCAACATCCTTGTAAATCTTTTCTGAACCCTTTCAAGTTCATAACATCCTTCCGGTATCAGGGAGACCAGAACTTGGAGCACTTTGAATTATTTATTTTAAAGTTTCCCACTACTTCACTGCCATTCCTTTTAGTTTACTTAGCCATTCAGCCTTAACCACCTCTCCTCTCCTACACATAAAATTTATATTTGTTTGATATGCTCCTTTGTGATTGGAGTATGTCGATTTCAAATTTAAAGTGAACTTCAATTGCGTTATGATCACTGTTTCCTAGTGGAGCTTTTACTATAGAATTAGTACTTGAGCCCTGCCTCATTTCACAATGATAGATCTGGATTGGTTTATCCCGAGTTGGTTATACAGCACATAAATTATCCACATCATGCTCTTTGTTACAAGCTCTGAAAAAGTTGTATTGGACTTGAAATGCTAAATTCTCTCACATTGTCTACAGATGCTGCCAGAACCTGAATTTAGAGCAAAGAACAAAGAAAATTGCAGCACAGGAACAGGCCCTTCGGCCCTCCAAGCCTGCACTGACATGCTGCCCATCACAACTAAAACCCCCTATCTTTCCGGGGACCGGATCCCTCGATTCCCATCTGATTCACATATTTGTCAAGACGCCCTTTAAAAGTCACTATTGTATCTGCTTCCACTACTTCCCCCGGCAGTGAATTTCAGGCACCCACCACCCTCTGTGTAAAAAAAAAAAAACTTGCCTCGTACAACACCTTCAAACCTTGCTCCTTGCACCTTAAACACATGGCACCTGGTAACTGAATCTTCCACCCTGGGAAAAAGCTCTGACTGTCCACTCTGTCCATGCCCTTCATAATCTTGAGACCTCTTTCAGGTCGCCCCTCAACCTCCATCGTTCCAGTGAGAACAACCCAAGTTTCTCCAACCTCTCCTCATAGCTAATGCCCACCATACCAGGCAATATCCTGGTAAATCTTTTCTGTACCTTCTCCAAAGCCACCACATCTTTCTGGTAGTGTGGGGACCAGAATTGAACACAATATTCCAAATGCGGCCTAACTGAGGTTCTATAAAGCTGCAACATTATCTGCCAATTTTTAAACTCAGTGCCCCGGCCGATGAAGGCAAGCATGCCGTATGCCTTGTTGACTACCTTTTCCACTTGCGTTGCCACTTTCAGTGACCTGTGTACCTGTACACCCAGATCCCCCTGCCTATCAGTACTCTTCAGGGTTCTGCCATTTACTGTATATTTTCCATCTGGATTCGACCTTCCAAAATGCATTCCCTCACATTTTTCCGGATTAAACTCCATCTGCCATCTCTTTGCCCAAGTCACCAACCGATCTATATCCTGCTCATCGCTATCCGCAATTCCACCAACCTTTGTGTCATCCGCAAACTTACTAATCAGACCACTTACATTCTCCTCCAAATCATTTATATAAGTCACAAACAGCAAAGGTTCCAACACTGATCCCTGAGGATGCCTTGTCACAGCTCTCCATTCAGAAACACACCCTTCCACTGACACCCTCTGTCTTCTATGACCGAGCCAGCTTTTTATCCATCTTGCAAGTTGACCTCTGACCCTGTGTGACTTCTGTATGAGCCTGCCATGAAGGACCTTGTCAAAGGCCTTACTGAGGTCCATATGGACAACATCCACTGCCCTACCTTCATCGATCATCTTTGCCACTTCCTGAAAAAACTCAACCAACTTAGTGAGACACGACCTCCCCTTCACAAAACCATGTTGCCTCTTGCTAATACGCCTATTGATTTCCAGGTGGGAGTAAATCCTGTCTGGAAGAATCCTGTCCAGTAATCTCCCTACCACTGACGTAAGGCCCACCGGCTTGTAATTAGCTGGATTGTCCCTGCCACCCTTCTTAAACAAAGTACCCTCATCCCGCCCCCTTGACCTGTCCGTCCTCCCTGGACTGACCTATCCCCTCCCTAACTCCCCACGTACACTCACCTTTACTGGCTCCACCCCCGCCTCTTTGACCTGTCTGTCTCCTCTCCACCTATCTTCTCCTTTATCCGTCTTCTATCCGCCTCCCCCATTTCTGAAGAAGGGTCTAGGTCCGAAACGTCAGCTTTCCTGCTCCTCTGCTGCTTGGCCTGCTTTGTTCATCCAGCTCTACACCTTGTTATCTCAGATTCTCCAGCATCTGCGGTTCCTACTATCCCTGGAACAACATTGGCTATTCGCCAATCCTCTGGGACCTCCCCTGTAGCCGGTGAAGATACAAAGATTTCCCTCAAGGCCCCAGCAATTTCCTCCCTTGCCCCTCTCAATATTCTGGGGTATATACCATCAGGCCCTGAGGACTTGTCTACCTTAATGTTTTTCAAGACCCCCAATACCTCCCCCCTATGCATTTTTTTGCACTTCTTCTTATGCACTATGCTTCTTATGCATTTTTTGTTTTTGATTCCAATAAGTTCTGGTTTCATGATCTTAAAATGCTATTACAACAGTTAGGAATCTATAAATGAAACCCACCAGCATTTTCTGATCCAAGGTTCTTTCTCACTGATGTTCTTACATTATTAATGTTTAATTCCATTGGCTGGGTCAGATTTTTTGAACTCCCTTCTTAACAGCACTTTGGGTATACCCATACCACATGACTACAGCGGTTCAAGGAACAGTTCACCACTGCTTTCTCGAGGGCAGTAGGGGTGGACAGTAAGTTTTGGTCTGGCCAGCGACACCATATCCTGTTTTTAAAAAAAATGAAATGTATATCAAAATTTGCAGACCAGTGATTCTTTGCCAATCTTGTTAGTTTTACTACCTAAGATAAATTTGTATTAGAATGAATTCTAATCTTCATTTTGAGAGACTGGATGAAGAATTTGTGAAATAAGGAATGCTGAAGGGAAATAGTTGGAAATGAGCAGTTCATTACTCAGTTAATTCTGCGCTGCAATTGTTTGTATTTGTTTCCTTTCAAAAGGTTGCTTCCTGCAGTCTGATCAGTGGGGCTTTGGTTGCTGCTGGTTGCATCAGGAGAGCACAGTGATTAACTCTGTATTGCATTCAGTGGGAAATCCATCTGAAGGTCATACTTTTTATGCCAGCACACGGTTGGTGTACTTTCTGAGGGGAAAATTGGAGGTCCAGAATCCTGAATGGTAATTGGTATTATGCAATTAAATGAGTGAAATTAAGCGTGACAGTTTTTGTGCAATTTTAGCAGAACTAATGTTTAAACATTTTAAAATCAGCCTAAACGTGCAAGGTAAAACACTTTGTGGTTTAGCACTACTCACAATGGATGTTAGCCTCAACTTTTAAGAAACAATTATAACCTTTCTATGAATGCAGCAGGTGAAAGGGCTTATGTTGACCAAAGTGTCTGTATGGCAGCAGTTTAATATGCAGGTGTTGTGATGATCTATTATCTAAACTATTACTTTATGATATTGGCTAGACACATATGTTAGACTTATTCAAACATACTTTTCAAAACCAAGAACACTGGGGTATAGCAGCAACCACATTCCTTTGTGAGGAATATTAGTTACTTTCTGCTTTCAAAGTTTAGGTGGAAAATATATTGGTTTTGAACATTGACGGCCAGAGAGAATTTGCCATAGGGGCAAAAGTTTTTGCCATTTCTCTCTTTGAAATCCCTCTCAGCAAGCTTTGAATGTTGCAAACCTGTTGGAAGATCTTAGTGCAACAAGTGGAGGCTTCTTAAAGAAGAGGTCTGAAACTATACCACTGAGTCCTGAAAAAAAAACTAGCCTGCAACTACTGACCCAGGGAGAAGCCCTAGTACCAACAACTCGTGAGGAAAGTGATTTAGGCTGCAAACTAGCATTTGTGAATAATCTGTGAATAAGTCACTTCTGAATTTAACTGTTACTTGCCTACAATGTTCATTACGTAATACTCTGCAAATTTTTGGGTTTTTTTCCCAGGCTTGGCAGGATAGTGGGGATGTGGGAGAGTTGCGGGTGTATACTGTTTTTTTCAAGAAGGGTAGTTGTAAATTAATTGACAAGAATCATCTATCCCTCCTACCTTGGACTTAACATAGGCCACAGCTTGATTCAGTATACGCTGGTCATGTGTTACACACTTAGAAAATCCAAGTACTTTCATTCGGCATGGCTTTGAATTGCAAGGTTCATTCCTGTTTGCAGCCCTAGATTCAAATAATTCTGTTTCTGCGAGTTTGACACAATTCTCATGAATATTATCCATCCTTGAGGCATGCCATTTTCCTTTTCATTGTACACCTTTAAAAGCCTGATTAAAATCTGTAAAGGTTGTAGCAATGGATTTATAAATTTCTCTAGTGCAAACAGTTGACCAAACATACTTGACCCTGGTCTAAAACTAACTTGTTGTTCTGTGAAGTTCCACATCTGAATGGCTTTTCCTTCTCCTTTGCAGTACACTCAATAAGCCGACTCCTCTAATTACACGTTTTTAAAGGTTTTAGCAAAGATTTTAATTAGCAAAGACAAAACGTCTGAATGAAAACACGCCAGCTCAGCGATCAAGTCAACAACCTCAACACATTTTTAAAGTTTCCCAGTCTTCAGGTAGTTGGGCTTCACAATTTAAACAACTCTACAAAAATTTTCATTGAGAAAGATTCATAGAGATTGAAGGATTGTTCTGAGTTAATGGATTAGTGCAGACCAAAAGGCTTCCATCATTTTGTTTATCTGGTGAAATCCAGAAACAAAATGGTGACAATTTGGATCCATATCCTTAGATATTTTCCAGTTCAGTTCCAAACTAAGACTGTTCAATTATGAGTGCAGCATTTCCACAACATTATTGGGGAGGCGATGGCCTAGTGGTATTATCACTGGATTGTCGATCCAGAGATCAGATCGGGACCCGGATTCTAATCACGCTAGATAGTGGAATTTGAATTCAGTAAAATATCTGGAATTAAGAATCTAATGATGACCATGCATCCATTGCCAATTGTCAGAAAAACCCATCCAGTTCACTAATGTCCTTTAGGGAAGGAAACTGCCCTCCTTACTTGGTCAGACCTACATGTGACTCCAGAGGCACAGCAATGTGGTTGACTCTCAACTGCCATCTGGGCAATTAGGGATGGGCAATAAATGCTGCCGAGCCAGCAATGCTCCCATCCCGTTAATGAATAAAGAAAAAAAATCATTCTCTTATTAAAAAAAGTTTTCAATTTAACCTGGTGATCAAATAAAATTATTACTAATATTACTTAGAGTCAACCAAATTTTAATGTAAAATTAATAACAACGAAGTGAAGAAACAATGAGCTCAACATTGTAAATTAATAGGAGGCATTAAGCAGAAGCTTAATTTTGGAAATGGTTGATGTTTTGCAGTGACCATTGATGGGACATCGTTTACAGAGCCTGTGAATTCTTTGTAATCAGGATGCTCGCATCTATGTTTAGATTGTGCAAGTAATAGGAAAAGCTGATTATCGACAGCCATAGATTCTAGTTTTGCCATTGGTTTGATGTTCCTTTTGTTCTTCACTCATGCCCCCTTCCTAGGTCATGTATAGCATCAGTCGTCCAGGTTAAGATCTTTGGGAGCTGGGTGTTCATTTTTAAATTTGATTTGGAGTTCTGTTTATATTTTAGGATGAACTCTCTGATGCCAGCCAGGCGTCAAGCTTGGTGCCAACAAAGCCTAATACTCCGATGTCGGTCCCACCAGACCCTGCCGTGGGTGATTCAGTTTCTCCAAGAAAGGAAAGTATGGAGGCTGAAGGGTTGTCAAAAAATTTAAATCAAGCAAACAAGAAACCAGACAGCAAGAAAAATATTGACGTGCAGGTAAAGCAGGAGACGAGAACTTTAGCAGTTGGTAAGTGTCTTGTTCAAACAAAATTTTATTCTGACGGAATTGAGGAACATTTGTAGTTCTTTTACTAATGTTGGCAACATCTCAACGTTCCTCCTTCCTTACTCCCCTGTTCCACAAAGGTTTCCAAATTGTTACAGTTCCCAAAAGTCTTGCGTGTCTATCTCAAATTGGAGTATATATATTTCTCGTTTATCTTGGGAAGGATGAACCTGATCGACATTCGTTTTAGAACATGAGTATATTCAGAATGTCAACATCACCTAGTAGATGAGATAGGGTAGATGAGATGAGGTAGTGTAGAGTGCTGGGTCTGCAGGAATATACAGACACCGGAACTAGGAACAGAAGTTGCTCATTTAGGCCCTCAAGTCTGCATTGCCATTCAATAAGATCAAATCTGATTTGTTTGTGTTTTGAATTCCACATTCCCATCTATCCCCAATAACCTTTTATTCTTGTTAGGCAATAGAATCAATCTACTTCCATCTTGGCATATTCGACTATCCCACCTCCACTGTCTTATGAGGCATAGTTTCAAAGTTGCACTACCTTTGGAGGGAAAATAATTCTCACCTGTCCTAAAAAGAAGGCTCTTTAATTTTTAAATAATACCCCATAGTTCTGGACTCACCACAAGAGGAAAAAATCATTTCACATCTGCCTGTAAAGGCTGTCAGAATCTTATAAACTTCAATCAAATGACCCCTCACTCTTGTAAAAGAGCACAGATTGTCCAACTTTTTCTGTTATGACTACCTGCTTTCCCCAGGTAATAATCTAATAAAACTTCTCTGAACTGACTCCAAAGCATTTGTGTCTTTAAATAAAGAGACCAGAACTGTACATAATACTCCAGATGGGTTCTCACTGTTACACTGTGTAGCTGAAGTATAAAAACTTACTCTTATGTTCAGTGCCTCTCATATTGAAGGATAGCATCCCTACCTTCTTTAGTTCATTCACAGGATGTGGGCATTGCATTTATTGCCCAGGCTGAATTTCCTTTGAGAAGATAATGGTGAGTTGCCTTCTTTGATCACTGCAATCCATTTGGTCTAGGTAGACCACCAATGTTATTAGGGAGGGAGTTCCAGGATTTTGACCCAGCAACAATGAATGAATGACAGTATATTTCATAATATAATTGATAAGTCAGGATAGTAACTAACTGCATATTATCTTTTAGTGAATTGCACACCAGAGCGCCCAGTCCCTTAATACCACAGGAGTTCATGCACTGCAAATTTATCTAGCATGTCTTCGCTCCCCTCATCTAGTGATGGATATAAATTTTAAAAAACCAAGGCTGAAGCACAGACCCCTGTGGGTCTCCATATATCCCATCAGAAGAAGATCTTTTCATGCACTCTCGCTGGCTAGCAGATAACAAATCTTGTATCCATGCTAATAGTTGCACAGTAACCTTTTATATGGCACCTTTTCAAATGTCTTCAGGAAATCCAAGTATAGTACATCTTCAAGCTTCCCTTCATCCACATCTTACTCCTTCAAAGAACTCCAATAAATTGGTTAACCGCTTTCGTGAAACCATTCTTCTCTAAACAATTGCATTAATTTTTTATCATTGTCTACAGAAGTTGTTTTTGCTGCTTTCTGATCTGATTGAACCTTTAATGTTAGTTTTTCAAAATTAATACATCTAAAAGGTAATGTTACCAAAGCCATAGAGGACCGTAGGGCTCCTCTGTAATGAGGGAGAGAAGGGTGACTGATGGTGAGTTTAACCTGAGGGTCAGCACACCTTAGACAAGGGGTGAGGTTGAGAAGGCAGGACATGGTGATCTCAGCTGATGCAGGAATTGAACCCATGCTGTTGGCATCACTCTGTATCGCAAACCAGCCAACTAAGTTAACTGACCCCCTCCAACACATCGACTACTTCATTGCCACCTCCTATAAGACCCTCTGATGATTTCAACAGGACCTGTTGATTGTCAGGGCATTGTCAACTTACAGCTCCGTCTATGTGTTTAGTACTATTACCCTGGTGATTTTGATTTCACTGAGATCATCTCTCCCTTCCACCACTTGATTCACTCCTGGAATGTTTTATAGATTTTCTCTTGTAAATGAACACATCATTTATTCATTTCATCTTCCATTTCATTGTCGTTCACTGTTAACTGCCCAATTTTGCTTTCTATTCATTTTATTTACTCACAAGTTTTTTTTTTTGAAACCTGTAGAACTCTTAGTATCTGGTTTTACATTTCTAGGTAGCTTCCCATGCTCCAGTTTCTTTTGCCTAATTAATGTTTAGGCATTCTGTACCTTTTTTTAGGGATAGTTAGCTCAGTTAGCTGGATAGCTGGCTGAATGCTCCCAACAGTGTGGGTTCAATTTTCTTACTGGCTGAAATCACCATGAAGTCTCGCTTTCTCAATTTCTCCCATGATCTGAGGCACGGTGACTCTCGGGTTAAACCACCAGTCATCTCTCTTGAATGAGAAAACAGCCCTCTGGTCCTCTGGGACTAAAGTTACTTTACCTTTATATTCTGTCCAATCATCTGAATTGCCATTCATTGTAGTACTTTGTCTATAAGTTCAATGCGATCCTTATTTAGTTGATCATGGATAATGTATCCTCTCCTTCAAAGTTTTGATTATAATAGGAATGTACCTATTTGGAGTAGCCTCAAACAGACACTTAAATATTTGCCATTACTTCCCAATTGATCAATCCCTTAACCTAACATCCCAGTTCACTCTTGCTGGCTCAGCTTTCATGCCCTCGTAAATGGACAGCTGGATGTTTCAAAAGTTATGATTCCCCCCTCAAAGAGGAATTTATGTAAATAAGGATAGGAGAACTTAATCGAATTAATAAAAGCTGTAATAAAGACAGAAATTGCTGGAAAAGCTGAGCAGGTCTGGCAGCATCTGTGGAAAGAAATCAGAATTAACGTTTCAGGTTGAGTGATCCTTCCTCAGAACCCAACCTATTTCAAACAATTTCTGTTTTTGTTTCTGATTTATAGCATCTGCAGTTCTTTCGATTTTTGTTGAGAATAACAGGTGTATTTTGCTTTCCATAAAGCACATTTTTCTCGATGGCTGCAGTATTATTGAGTGTGGGCTAAATTAATATAATAGTCGTATCAATTATTGCAGCACAGTTTGCTGCAACAGCAGCGTTGCAACACGCAAGGATGGCACAGTAGCTCAGTAGTTAACATTGCTGTCTCACAACATTAGGGACCAGGGTTTGATTCCAACCTCGAACTTGGTTTTGACATGGTTGAATAACTTGCTCATAGTAACGATTAAGGCTGACACTTGAATAGCACCGTGGAGTCAAGCTACTAATGTATTGGCTTTGCAGGTAGGACTGTTTTTTTTAAATTTGTTTATAGGATGTAGTGTTGGTAGCTAGACCAGTTGGACCAAAGGCTCTGTTTCCATGCTGTATGACTCTAAGAAGGTGGTGATGAACTGCCTCCTTGAACTTCTGTAATCCACGTGGTGTAGGTGCACCCACAGTGCTGTTTGGGAGAGTGTTCTGGGATTTTGACTTAGCAACAGTGAAGGAGCTGCGATATATGGATGTCAGGATGATGTGTGGTTTGGAAGGGAACATGCCACTGCCAGTGCTCCCTTGGTGAGTTTTTGCAGTACGTCTTGTAGATGGTACACACAGTGCATCGGTAGTGGAGGGAGTAAACGTTGAAGATGTTCGATGGGGTACCAACTGAGCATGCTGATTTGTCCAGGATAGTGTCCAGCTTCTTGAGTGTTGTTAGAGATGCAGTTATCCAGGCAAGTGGAAAGTATTCCGTCACATTCCTGACTTGTGTGTGCCTTGTTGTGGTGAACAGGCTTTGGGGATACAGAAGGTAAGTTACTCACTGCAGAATTCCCAGCTCCTGACCAGTTTGTATAACTATAGTATTTATGTGATTGGACCTGTTCAGTTCCTGCTCACCTACATGTAACTCAAACTATTTGTACCTTCGGCTGTTAGCTTTTGAGTTTGTGGTATTACTCCATTCTGTAGAGTCATAAAGTATGAGAGATTCCAGATCAACTGCAAAGACTTGAGCGTACTGTGAGTGTGCTGCATGGGCAGAGGCACCATCTTTCAAATAAGGTGTTGAATGGAAGTTCTGACTCAATTTTCAGGGGGTGAAAAAAATCCATGGCACTGTTTAATGAATCAGGGAGTGGTCTAAGTTTCCTAACTCATATTTATACCTGAACCAACATCATTGCTGCCAGTAGAAGTTTTGTGCAAATTGACTGTGAAATTTTTCTGTGTTAACAGTGACTATATTTTAGGTGTATTTTTTTCAGCCGTATAAAGTGTTTTAGGATTCTTGAAATCACAAAAGCTGCTGTAGAAAAACAAGCTTGTTCTTTATAGTTTCTTTTAGAATAGGGGATGGGCATACAGAAGAGTAAAAAAAAAGCTAAATATAGCTGTGCTTCCTAATTTTGGAATTAAACCAGTGCTGAACACTGGGTGCTTTTCTCACGCTTTGGACTATTATTGTAATGCAATGAACTATGTGCAGAAAAATATCTCAAATGCTCTTGCAGTTGAATAGAGTCTGTACATTCAGGAAGTTTTAGTTCAAAGCATCTGGCCTTGTTTCATATTTTCAAAAGAGCAGTTATTATCTGATTTTTAATCCGTTGTCTCTGAATGTAAAGTTACAAGTTTAAAAATAAAACTCATAGTCAGTTTTTATAAACCTAGAACTTAAGTTATCTGCCCTAATTGAGGAATGTTGCCATTGGCCAGAGTGCCCAATTTCTGATCCTCCGCGAATGCCTGTGATGCAGAATGAGAAACAATGTTTCCCTCAAAATTTTACCCTGGTGGATAAGTGCAACTCTGCTAATAGAAACTATACTGTGTGCACTCCTTACTGGCCGGAGGTCGTCATCAATGGAAATATTTCTTGTCCTGGAATAGTCAGAAGAGATCAGGAAAATTTGCAATATATCTAAGCATCACATTGTCAGAGCATGGAATGCTTTTTCTTGGCGTTCTTCTGACAAAGACCTTTGCATCGTTTCAAGGAAATGGATAAATGTTGTAAGTAAATGAATTACAAGGCTGAGGAAAGGCAAGGGGATTGTTCGGATTGCTCCAGCAAAGAACAGCCACTAACTCTGGGCTGAATTACATCCCTTTTGTCATAAAGACTCATGGCTTTTCTTTATTTTGTTTCTGTTGAATATGCTAGTGCAGTTCAGAACTTCAGTAACCAATAAAATTATTTAAAAGCTTTTCCTAAATATGTCACTTTAGTTACTTGTACTTGATTTGCTCCTTTACAACAATAACTGTAAATGTGTCCATTGTAGTCCAGATTATTAATCAAACTGTAGACTCACAGATGTGTTAATGTTAATGTTGAAGGTATGGTTGAAAATGAAGACAAATCAGACGTTCAAGCCATCATTGACTCAACGCCCGAATTAGATATGGATCGAGACCTTAGTGGGCATAAAGGAACAAGGTGAGTAAATGTAACTGTTTATCTTAAAATGTTGATATGTTCCGACCTCATTGTTTAATTTTAACAGTTGATTCACCAATCATTATTTGTACTTCAGCCAGTGAAAATGCTTCACTGTACTGCCCTTGTGGGCACAGTAAAACAGCTATTACATCACTACACTTTTCATTTAAAATAAAACCAGAATATGATGGAAGCCTTCAGGTCAGGCAATATTTGTGGAGACTGTGTTTCAGGCCTGTGGCCTTTCATCAGAAATTCTGATGAGAAAAAGGCCCATTTTCTCTGCCCTTTCTTGAGGTTAAAACATTTTTAATGCACAAATCATTTGGGATCTTTACATGACGGAATAGGGCAATAGATGTGTGAAATGATGGATATGTAATTTTAAGAACTGGATGTTTGAAAACTGTTGAGTTGATACGTTACTTAGGAAGCCAGAGTTAATCAGCTCAAGTACCATGCATACTGCGTGTGGCTGTTTTTTCTACAATTCTGCTGTTTGTTTATTAATTATAAATAGTAGGCCCACTCTACTCCAGGCAGTTCAGATATCTTTGATGAACCATATCAAGTAACTTGGATTAATTTCCTCTTTTATGTTTTTGTTAAACAGCACACCAACCCAGGGAATAGAGAATAAGGCATTTGATCGGAACACAGAATCTATCTTTGATGAACTGTCCCAATCTGCTTCTGAGCTGATCGGTGACGTGGATGAGGGGGCAAACTTGCTTGGTAAGCAGAAGATCTGGCAGAGATCTGAAGTGCAGCCTTATTTAAATGTGTGGTTGTCCCCATGTAGCTAAAGCAATTTCTGAGCATGCTGGTCCAGAGAATGTAAAAAATGAGGCCCTGCATTCTTAACTGCTTTCTGTATTTCTCCCACCAGGGGCTAAGTAGTTATTCTTCCCTCTAGTAGGTAAAAATGCACTGAGCATTGGGAGTCAGACCTCTAAATTGTTCATCCTCCAGAAATTATTTACAGACTAGCGAATTGTCAATTGATCAGGGGGTTGGGGTATTTTGTTCAGACTAGATTGCATATGCAATTTTGGGCCCTCAAAAATCTGTTATACATTTTTACATAATACAAAAAACTCACAATGCTTTTGTCTTTGTGAAATTATTTATAGTCTATAAGAAATGAAAACAGTGCATTAGCTGAAACTGTAGTCCTGTTTCAGCTTTTTATTTTGTCTTCGTTTTTAGGAATATCTTTTCTCATTATCATATTTTAGAGTTCTCAGGGTAGTTGGCTATACTGCATTCACATTTGTTCAGACTGATTTGTTTTGACATTTGCAAACAGTAATGCTGGTCAGTTGCTTGAATGTAGTAGTTGTTGCAAGATGCTTAACAGACGTATAACAGGAAGAAAGATCGGACAGATTTCTGAAAGTAAATGGAAGGGTAGGAAGCTGAAAGGCTTTAGGGCAGAGTTTGAGAGTGGAGTCAAAACCACTGATCACTATACCACTAACTGAAGATGAGTATGTTGTACAGCCAAAGAAACAGAGGGGGCATGGTGGTGTATGGAATCAGAAGAGGTGGCCGATGTGGCAGTAGTTGTAGGGTAACTTGTAGAAGGGGATTTTAAATTCTCTGTTGTTGATGTGTGGGAGCAGAATTCCAGACAAGTCACACAGAGTATAAACAAAGGAAATCCTTTCAAAGAAAAATATCATTGAGGTGGTGAACCTACGTAAGTTGTAATACACTGTGCTTGGATTAAAATGGGCTTGTGTTTAACTCTTGTTGCTTTGAGTATTGCTTAAGTGGACATATTTTTTCCAAACCAATTTTTCTAATGAAAACTTAATATATTGAAGTAGATTTAATGACATTTTATCTGTCAGGCTGTAGATATAGTTTACGAGTTCTGGCCAGCAAGGCATTCACTGGTGTGCACAATTACTGTCTTGACAAGTAGCTTGCATGGAAAATATCACTGCAGTTCAGGACGGCTTCCAATAACATTTTGTAAAATAGGTTTTCTTTTAAGTTCTCTTTATTATGGTGCTTTATACTCAGCTGTCCAAGAGCTTTGCTGGGCTTGCTTTAGGATCAAAAATACATCCATGGTACCAATGAAATTCAAGTTAAACATTTTAATACCAGGAAGCTCATTTGCTGTGATCGTATTTTAAGCTCATTTTGCTCTCATGAACTCATTTGACTGTGTGTCCTGGAATTCTGCGCAACTCAGTGGATATATAATTCCTTAAACACCTAAGACTATGCCACATCACCAACAAGCTGTAGGCCTCAATGACGTAAACATTCATGTTGCCCAATTTGAAAATTAGTGCAAAACAAGTTGCAAGATATCATTACTGAAGATGCTGATGATTGCCCTCATAACCATTCACCCTCACGCAGGGCATAGAATCAAATTTGGCTTGTGATTTTGTGAAAGGCAAGGGTATGTTTTGTAATATGAATAATATCTCCATGAATAGTGATAAGTTTGCAGCATCATAAAACAGCTGGATAATTGAGGAGCATTTCAGTCCTTAAGCATGCAATGTGAAAAATAGGCAGGAAAAGCTCTTTATATATTGAAGTTCTGCTCCAGATGTTTAGTACATCTGTCTGGTATTGCCTGATGTTTGACTTCCACAGTTCCAGTCCTGGCTTCAGTTTTCAAGTCCTTGATATCCTTTTCATAAGGAGGCTAACAGAAAGCCTAGAATTTTAGAGTTATCAAACGTCAAGACACTGTACATTTTTTTCTCTCTCTCTGTCCCTCTCTCACAGCAACAGCAGCAGCAGCATTACCACCCCCCCCCCCCCAAACAAAAAAAAAACCCATTCTCTTTCAGGCGCATGCATTCTTTCTTGTTTTTAACTCGGTCTTGCTGTCATAGCCATACGACATAATCAGCAATCAGTGGCAAAGTCCTGGTCTTCATTTACTAGGATAAACAAGGGTTTAAAGCCTACATTTAACTACACTCAAATGCTACATTCTGGTTTGCCTCCTTTTTGACTCCAACTGTCTCAACATTAGTAGTGTCTTCCTCTACAGATCATTACCTTTCATCTTTGCTTTTAAACAGTATAACCTCATGAAAAATAAAAGCTGCATGGGGAGAAATAGTACATTGTATTATGGGAGATTAAAGATAAAAAGCTGCTTATCAATCTTATTCAAAATTCTGTAAACTCTGTAAGGAGTACTGCAGTAAAGCTCTGGAAGGATGAGATGGATTTGTGCCTGTTGATCAGTGTTACAGATGTACTAATCCAGTGAATCTCTCATCCCGACTGACTGCAATTTCCAGAATTGACTTGAGGAATGTTTCTCTTCCTTTGTTTTCTTTCACTTTACTCAAAATGTCTTTGTGTTTACCTTAATTATAGCAGGCCCCCCAAAAAGGAACTCTTGTATCCTTTAATCCAGAATGTCTATTGTCTTACCAATAAGCTTGTTCTAATTTGTTGTCTGTCATTTACTAATCTTTGTCGCCTTGTTCAGAGAGTTGCCAAAGTAGGACATGTGCTTTCAGCATGCAGAACCTGCTGATTGCCATGCAACAGTTTGTGTGTGTGACAAGGAGAGAAAGGAAGTAATAAGGACTCTGCATTTTATGCACGTGGACCTACTGATCTGGTGTTTTGAGATGCTTGCTTGTAAAACCCATTTTCTGTTTCGTCCTTTGCATATTCCTCATTGTATTATTTTGCTGACTCCATATTTGTCCAAGCAATACCTTGTTGCTTTCGTACGTTGTTTGCGTGCATTACAGCAGCAGACTGAAGATGAGCATGTTTCTATCCTCCCATCGCTATTGTACCACAGTTGACACAGTAGAGTACAGCTTTAAGTGCACTACATGTAGTTAATGATAAAAAATTAGTTTTCATTCTCAAGCTAATTTGCGTTTTTCTTCTCGTGTTTCCTTTCTCTTGGGCTGCTAACCCAGGGGAGTTTTCTGGTGTGTATACTTTCACATACTGTATATTGTGCTTCTCATGACATCATCTTTGTAATTTGTATGTCTCTTCCGTAATTCTATTACTGTGTTTTATGACATTTGTTATAAAGTTGGAAATGTTTTTCATGTGTTACTAACGGAAAGGGATGAGGATTCTTAAAAAAAACTGAGTGTCTGCATATTGATCCACGAATAAGATGTTTCAAAAGATACAGGAGGTTCTGGAATCAATGCAAGGACGGTATGTGGACCACTGTAGAGAATAAAAATTAGGAAAGTATGTCTTGGACTTGGCTTGTTCACGGTGTGTATTGTAATCCAAAGGTCAGCATCTTGGAATTCCATACCAGCCATCACTGAAGGAGCACAAGGTTAAGCTTATATGATGTAGGAGTGGAAGTAGGTCATTCATCAAGTCACCTTTACCATTTAGTAAGATCATGACTGATCTGATAATCCTCAACTCAACTTTCCTGCCTTTTCCCTATAATCCTTGACTCCTTACTGATTAAAAATCTGTCTAGCTTAGCCTTGTATATACTTAACAACCCAACCTTGAGAGTCCTTTGCTGTAAAGAATTCCACAGATTCACAACTGAGAGAAGAAATTCCTCCTCAAATGTCTTAAATGTGTGATCCCGTTTTCTGAGATGATACCATCTAGTTTTGCTTTCCTACAAAAGGAAACAACCTTTCTTCATCTACCCTGTGAAGACCCCTAAGAATTTTCTATGTTTCAATAAGATCACCTTTTGTTGTTTTAAATTCCATTGAGTACAGACACAACCTACTCAACGTATCTTCATAAGGTAGTTCCTCCAGACTTGGATCAGTCGAATGAACCTACTTTGGATTCCCTCCAATGCCAGCCTGTGCTCCTTTCAATAAGGATCCGAGAACTGTTCACAGTATTCCAGCTGTAGTCTGACTAGAGTCTTTTGTAGTTTTAGCAAAACCTCTGAACTGTTATACTCCATTCCCTTAAATCCTCCCAACTCTTTTTCAGAGCAATACAGGTGGGCAATGTGTACAGTCTCGTCTTGGACACAGACGCCCTCATTGTGGGAGTTGCTCAGATAGTTGTTTTCTTGCATTGGAGAATGGAATGTGCTGAGGAATCATTGTGGTGATATTAAATGGGAAAATGAACCAGATTAACTGGGATCTACATGATATAATAGCACTTTACTTCTTCAGTTCAAGGGTTCTGAGTTGAATCTGAATAAAAACCGAAAGAACTGTGGATGTTGTAAATCAGGAACAAAAACAGAAGTTGCTGGAAAAGCTCTGGCAGCATCTGTGCAGAAAAATTAGAGTTAACACTTTGGGTCCAGTGACCCTTCCTCAGAACTGATAGTAGCTAGGAAAACGTTGGTTTATATGCAGAAAATAGGGAGGGGGGTGGCGTCAGCAGTAAATGATAGAATAGAGCCCGAAAAAGAGAAGGGCAATTGAATAAACAAAGGAGTTGATGACAATCTGGCTAGGAGGGTGAATAGTTGTTAATGGGGACTATTAGTGACTAACAAAAGGTAGTGTGTAATGGCAGGCTGTGTGATATAAAGGCCTGGTGTGTGGGGTAGGGGGCGAGGACCTGGGAGAGTCCTACTATAAACCCACTGACTCCCACAGCTACCTGGACTATACATCCTCACGCCCTGCTTTCTGTAAAGACTCCATGCCACTCTCTCAGTTCCTCTGTCTCCATCGCATATATTCAGATGAGGCCAACTTCGACAAGGGAGCCTCCGAAATGTCCACCTTCTTCCCCAGCCAAGAATTCCCCACCATCATTGT